TACATTAATATCGTCAAAACGTCGTCTCACATATTAATCTATCTCATTACGTCAGAAGTGTAAATTATTGAATTATCGACGAAATTTTGAACTAGTAAACTTTTATTGGCTTTCGTACTACACGTCGTTTAAAAATTTAAAGTGTTAAAAAGAGGATGAATTTGTTCAGTTACATCTATAACTTCAAGAAATATTAACTTCTTCCTCTTTAATTTTTAGTAGGATTGGACAAGATGGAGAAGATTGAGCATAATTTTGTGTCCCCACTCCAGCTAAAAGTACACACCCTCTTGCTGCCTAGGTTATAATAATTGCACAATGATATAGCTTGTAAATGTAATTATATGAATCTAGAAATTATATGTCAAAATAGCTATGATAGTGATTCTTCAGCTACCCTTTAATCATATGCCACTCACTTCCCAAATCTTCCTTTCACAATTTCCCATCACTGTTCTGGTAGACTTTTTTTCTTCTTTAATTAATGTGACAATTTTAGATAATTCATACTCAAATGAGGTCCTTTAAAATTGTTTGTACATAAGTGTGATACAGTTTCAATATAACAGGGGTAGATTACAATAATTTATATTGTAGTAGTGATTCTAATTGCTTCAAATCTCCAAATATGCCTCACGAAAAATATAACCAAAATGGTGAAGAAATATCCATGCAGTCAATTTCAAATTTATTGGGAATGAAACTTATTACGATATTACTGGGTATGTAATTTTGCTTTGAAATGTTTTCAATTTTTAAAGATACAAAAAAGACTCGAGATCGAGATAAATAATTTAACTCATACAAATTTAGATTGTGAATCTTTGAAATCCATAGTAGGAAAGGATAGACTTTTTCAAATTCAAATTGATTTTAGAACCATAATTTCTCCATTTATAAAATCAATTTTGTTCTTATTGAGCTTACCAAACAATCCATACTAAAGATAGTTTTAGCAACAAACAACTTTTTGCATAAACGTTTTGAGATTAAGTCTTTTAACACAAACATATATAGCGATATTTGTAAAATTCATATGTAACGATGTTTCTAAGACGAAGTAGCGAAAAAAAGATTCATATAATTAACCAAAATTCATTATCATTGTTGTAATCGTATATTGAAGTTCAATCATGTGTGTTTATGTTAAAAGAACACGCATTTAAAAATGAGTTTAAGAAAATTCAAAAAGCTGTGCCGAACAAGTGCTTAATAATATCACCAGAAGATTTGACCACCTAACAATGCAATCTCCAAACAGTAGTACCTCATATAACTTGGACCAGTAAACATGTGTGATTTAGCAAAACAAAAGGAGATTGTCATGTAAAGATAGTACCAGTAGGGCACAAGGATTATCTTCTCTAATTAACTTTTTTGTTTTTGTAATCTTTTAAAAAGAATTATTAGGCTATGTAAGTGCCTGTCGTTTTCCCTTGTTTCCCACTACTTGCGTTCTTGATAATTTAAGGCACAAAGCACTCAAAGCTAAATCTGTATTATCTATATTTTATTCTAATTAAACTTTGGTGTTTAAAATATTACAGTATTTTCCGTAAAGCCTCATTTTGATTGAGAGAGAAACAAGAAAAAAATTAATGGGGTATCAAAATAAGTAATTATGAGTATGTTTATTTATGGTATTTTAGACTAATACGACTAAGGTAGTAGATCATCAATTTTAATTGGTCGATTGCTATATCCAATCTATCGAGTCAATCATATCATACATGTTGAATAAATTATATTATTTTCTTTTTGTCTTATTGTTCTATTATTATAAAAGGATAAATGGACATAAATTACTTAATATTCAAGCAGAAAACGATGAATATCCTTCATAATAAATATTTTACAAGTTAGATTTAGTTGTAATATGACCAAATAATGAGATCATTTTTCTCCCACTTCACATCTTGAATTGGCACAGTTCTTACAGAAATAAACCTCCCTTGTTCTGGTAGTAAAATAAGGGCGATTTTGTTAAATAGTCTAGTCAAACAATGTATTTGATTAAATAACATTGTTTCAATGTTTGTTGGTCAAATGGTCCTCAATTACAAAATACAATAAACAAATAATATCAAATGTTCAAAACACCCTTACCATGGAAAAGACTCAAACACCCCTTTCAATCCAATCAATTTCCTCAATTCATCTCCAAAATGCATCAACGTGATTTCTCTGTGCTTGCTGCTCTAAATCATGTTTTTTTCATTATATTATTTACCTATCTTCTCCAATAATTTGATCATTTGAACAAGAATTTTGGTTTCCTTATTATCTACTATATTTGAAGAAAAAAGAAATGTATTTTTAGAAATCTCATGTATATTTGTACTTTTATTGTTAAATATAGTATAA